GGTGAGAACGAGGACTCGGAGCCCCCGCATGCTTAATAAAGTGCGAAGTCGCTCGTTGCGCGGCGGCGTTGATTCAAAAGAAGGTGCTGGCGGTGGTGGCTCGACGGTCGTTGTGGCGGCGGCGGTGGTAGAGCTGGCGGTGGTGATTCGGAGCTCGCGGTGGTAGTAGCGATTCGGTGGTCGCTGTGGTGATGGTTCGGCGATTCGCTGACGGTGGTGCTGGCGGTCCTGCTCCATGCCATCTGGCATCCGAGAGCGCCTTGCTTCTAAGCGTTAGTCGTCCGCTGCCAGCCTTGCGCGTGCTTTGGCGCTCGGGGGCCGCCGGGGTTGGCACGCTCTGGCTGGGTTGGGCCCTCGATCCTTGATCCCCCTCGAGGCTCGATCCTCCTCGATCCTTGATCCTCGAGGGCGTCGTGCGTGAGGCGTCGTGCGCAGAACTTCCTGGGCGCAGGGGGAGGAGGGGGAGGAAGGGGAGGAGGGGGAGGAGGGGGAGGAGGGCAAGCTAGGTGCGCTCGCGTCATATCTGACATCCTACCCCTCCCTCCCATCCCTTACCATGGCGCAGATCCCCTCTCTACTCGCACAGTCGGATGTCGAGCAGGGCAATGATCCCGACAGGGTACGCGATGCATTGTAGAGCACGGCATGGCATGGCGTAGAAGAGCACCGCGAAGCGTAGTATCAACCTAGCATTGCATTGCATGCCGTGGCATGGCACGGGAAATGACGCCAGCGCTGCAGCGGGAGCTCGAGTCGAAACGAGCGGAAGCGCGGAAATGAGGCCAGCGCTGCAGCGGGAGCACGATTCGGAACGAGCGGAAGCACGGAAATGATGCCAGCGCTGCAGCGGGAGCACGATTCGGAACGAGCGGGGCCCGAAAATGAGGCCGGCGCCTCAGCGGGAGCAGCATCTTTTGAAAACAAATGCAGGCGAGAACCCAACTCCGGGGAAACCTGTGTGTAAAAAACAGTACGCGGGGGGGGTCGAGCACTTTCAAACCGTCATCAGGGGAAGAGGGAGAGTAGTATTCATAATGAGTAATTGTGGAGGAGGGGGAGGAGGGGGAGGAGGGGGAGGAGGGAGAGGAGGGGGAGGAGGGGGAGGAGGGTGGGGAGGGGGGGGGAGGGGGAGGAGGGTGGAGGAGGGGGAGAGGAGGGGGTCGCAGGGCTTCTCGTGGACCACGGCACAGGCCTCGGCGGCGGTGCGTTGGGCATAGCGGGTGGGCCGAGAGACAACGGTGCCCTGCCGCTGGCTCTCGACCCGCCCTCATTATCATCCTCCTTATCATCCTCATTATCATCATCCTCCTCCTCCTCCTCCTGCTGCTGCGCTCGCACCGAGAGAGGCGATCCTCGTGGCGTCTCCACGGCCCGCGTCGCGCGGGCCGCACATGCAGTCTTGACGGGGTCGACCTGGCCACCTGATCCTCATCCTACCTCCACCTCACTCCTCCCAAAAGAACGAAAGGGCACCTTCGACCCCATCACGACTAAGTCGAGCCCCCCAGGTGGGGACCCACCCTGGGGGGCTCACCACACCGGCCTCCTCAAGAGGTCCCAGTCGGCCTCCACGGCCGCCTGCCAGCAGCGCCCAGGCATCTCGCCCTTGCCGTACAGCGTCGGGAACCCCGACTCAGCCGTCTAGCCCAGGGGGTTGTTACGTTGTGGGCTGAATCCCCCCCCCCTGGGCCACGACCCGCGCACCTTCACCAGGAAGTCGTCCTCATACGTATTCCCCATTCATCATCCACCATAGGTCATACCAATACTCGTATTCAACGTTTTTGCTTCCAACTCCGACCATCATATCCTTCTCCACATAATTGTCATCTATCCCAGTGGGTATCCTGGCCATGTCCGTGGTTACGCACATTGGGACACGGGCCCTCCCACACGCATGAAATAATATCGTTCGGGCTCGAAATACGGTATTCGCCCTTGTTTGCTTATCCCACAATTTCCCACGGATTTCGGTACCACCCCACAATCGCATACCCATATACCCATATATCTGTCCAACAACACCACAAGTCTTTCGCCTGCATATATCCCTCACCACCGTGTGACACATACCATCTGTAGCAATCGCGTCCATTTCCATTGTCCTGATATCAATCTTCTTGATCTGGAGTGGTACATCCT